ATAGAATAGAATAGAATAGAATAGAATAGAATAGAATAGAATAGAATTCTTTATTGGCCAAATGTGATTGGACACACAAGGAATTTGTCTTGGTGCAAATGCTATCAGTGTACATAAAAGAAAAGATACATTCGCCAAGAGTCAAGAATCATAAGGTACATTACTTAGTGATAGTCATAGGATACAATAAGCAATCAAATCATACTAAGAAACAGTCAATAAAGATCATAAAGATACAAGCAATAAGTTTATAGTCATACAGTCATATGGGAGGAGATGGGTGAAAGGAAGGAAGATTAATAGTAATAGTAATGCAGATTTAGTAAATAGTTTGACAGTGTTGAGGGAATTATTTGTTTAGCAGAGTGATGGCATTCGGGGGAAAAACTGTTCTTGAGGGTAGGAGTTGAAACTGTTTTTGTCCAGGAAGTGAGGGGCCTGTAAATATTTATCATCCTTAATCCTGGATGTCTGCCCCAGACGGACCCATTACAAAATGTACTTAGAAACATAGAAAACTGGGCTGGACTCCCTCACCGATGGACCAAAATCTGCGATCATCCGTGGTTTCGGTTCGTGCTCTCCAATCGGAGGGCCCCTATCTACTCGATTTGGGGCTGGAGCCATCCCGTAGAGGTGGTGCGGAAGGGGGGAGACTACCAGCTGGGTGAGGGGAGCCGCATCTCTCCTCCTTGCCTTGGCAATATTTCCCTCCGAAGACAGCGGTAGCCGTGGCCAACATGGCCACCCTGAAGAAGTGAACTGATTGGGATAAGATCGTTCAGGAGCAGAAAAGAAAAGGACAGCACAGAAACCAGGAGAATTGAGTGCAATCTCTAAATAAAAGGTACCCCGGAATTAAATCAAAAAACATTTTTGAGTTAATTGAAGTGGGGTACAATGAAGTGAAGAAAGAAATTCTGACAGCTTAAAGTGGCTTTGAACCTTAAAAAGGAACAAGCTAGAAAGAGATTTATGCTTATATGGGTTAAACATATGGCTCTGACACTAAAAATGCATAATTAAAGCCATATCTGAATGTGTCAAGGGAAAAAAAAAGAGTAATTGATACTTGGACTTATTGGAACTTTTGAAATCTAAAAGCCCGAAATGGGTCGGGGGGGGGAGCGGGAGAAAAAAAAGTTGATTTTAGACATAACGGAGAATGCTATCTAGTGGCCAAAGGAAATGTTTGTTTCCCTTTACTCCTTTTTCCTTTTAAAAATCTGGTACCTTCAAGGACTTATTTGAAACAAATTAACGGATTAGGACACAATAAAATAGAGACCCTGGGAAATGAAAGTGGATTATTGAATACTAAGACAAAGAAAAAAGCAGGAAGAAACCATTTCGGGATTGTTTGGTAACTTTGGCGCAAATTTTAATTTATGGACACTGAACTATGAGATGAACTTGGAAAACCTAAAAGAGGAATTAATAAAAACTGATAGTTGGAAATAAATTTTACAGACTTTGGTCAAATTAAACTACTGGATAAAAGTGAAAAGTGGCAGATCTTATCTTGGAACTAAAACTGGAACTTAGAAATATGAAAGAAATGTTACAAGAAGAAGGCAAAGTGTTTTACCTGACTTTGCAACTTTTACAAATGGCGATCTTAGAGCACGAAGAACAAAGAGAAATGTCAGAAGAAGAGGAGCTGAGTAAAGAAGAGGCCATCTTTAATGAACATTTAAAACAACAAAAGTTAAGGCGAAGGGGGAAAAGAAGGGGAACTATGATGGACATAGATAAAAGAATGTCTCTGAATTTTTAACCATATCAGCGAGGCTTTTGTTTTCATTTAAGCAGGCAGGGTGGGCTAGATTATTGCATAGGCGGCATTTGATGTAAATTTGATGTAAATTTGATGTAAATAGGTGGATTTCGTGGCGAGGAAACCGTTTGTGCAACTTCGTGTTTTGCACCAATTGTCCCCTCTTTTGGATCACGAGGCCCAGTGCACAATCAATAACGCCCTGGTCATCTCGTGCCTGGATTATTGCAACACTGACTACATGGGCAACCCAGAGCTATTATTGGCCCAGAATGCAGCAGCAACCTGAGCAAACCCCATCGGCCAAGGGAGAAGGGAAAAGAACTTTTTCTCCCCCCACCCTCCCCCACCCCCATTTTTTGGAACCTCTTGCTCCTCCTGGCTCTGCAGTTGGCTTGGTGCCCTGATGGGGAAGCCGTAGGCTGGAGATGGTTGATGCAGTGATTGAGAAGCCATTTTCCCTACTCCGCCCTAAATTCATCTTTTACTCTGCATTTAATCTTTTGTAACCTTAATTGGCTAGTGGTTTCTATATTTTTATTTTGTATTATAAGTTGTCTAGACCCTAAACCTTTCTTTGATTTTCTTTTGCTACAGGAATTGGGGTAAATGTTATTTCTAGCTTTTCTTGCAATCTTTAATTTTCCTAACTCTGCAGATATTAGGGACTATCTGCTGGTATGCCTTCTTGGAAATTGCACCCATCTTCCACTTCCTGTTAATCTTTCTTTGAACTGTTGAGCAACTTGTAACTTCCTCTTGACTTGTAACTTAATTAAATGCTCCTTATGCATCCAGAACATGTCTCTAGCCTGAGTCGCATCTTTGTTCTCACCGGAAGGATGTTTGATTGATTGCACCTTTGTTGCTTTATGCTTGAGAAATTGACATCTCTCCCGATTGTTTTGTCCATGGGGTCTCATCCAGGACTTCTTTAAGCTTGCTGAAACTGGCTGCCCCGAAGCCCAGTGCATACTGGTGCTTCCATGTCCCTTTCTTGGTCACTTTCTCCTAGGCTCCCCTCTGCTTTTCCCACTCCAGGCAGCAGGAACAGAGCTAGGAGTCCCAGCCCACCCGCTCGCTCTTTCTTCATCCTTCTGGAGAGTGAAACTGGCCGCAGGACCACTGAGGGAGATGAGCTAGTTTTCCAGCAAGGGTCCCGAGAACTTAACTTTCCCATTTGGGTTAAGTCTCCCTGTGTTGGAAATGAATCCAAATGACAAAAAACTTGGATTGGTGAAAACACAGAGATTTTATTTCGTTAAGCTGTTTGCAAAGAGTGGTAGGATCCCAGCTGACCTCAACATGAAGTCTGAGCCAAGAACCACACTTAAGATTTCAATACATTACATTTTATAGTTCTTCTATCCTGACGCCCCCATGCCTCTCCTACATCGACCCAGTGACCGAGCACAGCTAATCCGAAATGTCCTACGGAGACCGCATCATCTCCTTCAGTACCTCCCAATGACCTCCCATCACATCTTATCTTACTTGGCATTCAGGAATGTCCCTTCAACAGGGCCTCTTTCTGAGGATAAAGAAATATCTATTCCTAACCCCACACTTGTTACATATTAATGTTACATACTTCTTCGTAGAACAACATAATGATTATATGCATCTCTAACATATTCACCTATGCAAAGTAAAAGTCTGGTAAACTTAAGCTGATGCTTTGAAAAACAAAATCTAACTTCAATTGATTAAAGAAAGGGCAATGGTTTATCTCTTCTCCTATTGTCCTCCTAATTGATCACTCTAGTCTTTTGTGATGTCAAATGTGTATGTGAATTGCCTTGACAGTTTGAGATAAGTACCAATTCCTGGAGGAGATAGGGGTGGCATTACTTGATACAGAAGGATGTAATTGATTGCAGGTACATGTTTAAATACATTTGAAAATATATTTACAGAAGGATTACATCAAGATAGCAAATGTCTATAGAGCAACTATCTTCTTAATGCTCTATTCTATTATTCTCTTCACCTACATTTTATTTTTGAATTTTCTTATTTTATAACAACTGTGAGTTTTGTAATCAGGTCCTGTAGCACCATAGCCCACTTATTTCCTGCCTCCTCTCTGTTCTGTCTTGAATGTTCTTGTGCTCAGATTCACAAATGTCAATACACAAGTGGGCTTCCTTTGCAGAGAACACCGTTCTTCTTCCTCCTCCTCCTCCTCCTCCTCCTCTCTAGTCCATCTTGTTCCACTTCATTCCTTGCTTTCCACTGGTGGGTTTCATCTCAGTGGGTCCACAAAGGCCTACAAAGTCCCATTTGCCTGCTGCATAGCTTTGGTGAAAGAGGCTTTCTCATCACTCTTATCAGAAACAGAAGATATAAACTGGATTACCAGCCCTCGTCAAGCTGTCGCCATTTATCTAAGTTGGGGGGGGGGGTATTTCCTAGGGAGAGAACAAAATAGATTGTTTCAATTGTAAACCCAATCAATCGGAATATTCACTCTGTACAATTACTTATTTATCTGGTTATTTCTTTGTTGATTCAATCTTGCTTAGGTATGGTAGGATTGTAGGGTAGGATCATTTGTCCAGAGTGGTGTAAGGTCTCCTGCTTGATCCAGGTGGGTATGGACTAGAAGCCTTCCAAGGTCCTGTAAGGTCCCAGAAGTTTCCCTGAGCCGCAGAGATGCCAAAGAGAGTGAGACTCGAGATGAGGCTTGCAAAAATAACAGCTTTTTTATTCCTTGGCCAAAACAAAAGGGTTGGGTGACAAAACTATGCCCAAAACATATAGACAAAATGCATGTAAGGATAGCCACACCGTGCGAGAGTGGCTCAGAGTATTATATACATTTTACGCTGATAAAAATAAAGTTTATCCAATCAGAGACAAAGGTTCATTATCCATGTCTTGCCCGTGCCCTCCCCTTCTTTATCCACAGAGCATTCTTTGTCCGTGCTCTGTCCATACTTTGTGATTTTACACAGTATCCCTTGTCCTTGTGTGTTCGTGCTCCTAGGCAGCCCCCCCACCCCCTTATCTATGGAGCAGGATGTTCCTGGGAATTGTCTCCAAGGATGTGTCTAGCTCTGAAGCAAATTGCAGAGGCGAGAAACCAGACAGAAAAGGATACAGTTCTCTTACTGAATGGATTCCTAACAAACGATTCCCATACTTAGAAAAATAGTACAAGCTTCTTTAACAGAAGCAAAGAGCAAAGATTAGATTGATTCATGTCAATGTGTCCTTTCAATCCCTTCCAGCTGTTTATTTTGTATAAATCTCTGGGTGTCGTCATCTCTCAGCATGGATTTAAGTACTTCTGATGTGCTGATATTACTCAGTTACAGACCTCTGTGCTTGCTGCCCAAAGTAAGGCAGGTGGTCGTGGGAATGTGTTAATTAAACAAATATTGGCCATCGCTCTGTGCTTCTGAGTTGCTTGAGGCATCCAAGGTCTGGCTTCTGTGGTCAGCCAGGTCTTCAAACCTAACATAAAGGCACAGGAGCCTGGGAAAGGGTCCTGAGTTGGAGGAAATAGAAGGAACACTAAAGGGACACTAAATGATACAATGCTTTTGTTTCTGTCCCAGTTGCTGCCATGGAACCACTCCGGAGGGCCTTCCAATAACACGCCTCCCTGCTCGGAGAGTGCAGACTTCCAGTACATCCTGTTCCCCGTGGTTTATACTTTGGTCTTCCTCCTCGGCCTGGTGGGGAATCTCTTTGTGCTGGGCTACTTCCTTTGGACCAAGTCAGCCACTGCCCCGGCCAATGTCTTCCTGGTGAACCTGGCCATCCTTGACTTGCTCTTTGTGCTCACCTTGCCCTTCCGCATCACTTACCACGCCCACCAGAACGACTGGACCTTTGGTGAAGCTCTCTGCAAAATCACCGGCTGCCTCTTCTTCGCCAACCTCTATGGCAGCTCCCTCTTCCTGGCCTGCATCTGCCTCGAGCGCTACGTAGCTGTGGTCCATCCACTGAAGCACCTCCAGTTCCGGCAGCTGCGCTACCGCCTGGTGGCTGCTCTGGGAGTATGGCTGGTCCTCATTGCGGCCATCCTGTTCCTGGCCCTCCGTGGGCCGCTGACCAGCCGTTTCACCAATGGCCGCACGGCCTGCCTTGAAAATTTCTCTTCCAGTTCCTGGAAGGGGCGCATCTCAGGCATCAGTATCTTCGCTGCCGTGGTTGGCTTCCTGCTGCCTCTTCTTTTGATTGGTGTCTGCTACCCACTGATTGCCTGGCGCCTCCTGGCTTCCCCTGGATTGCAGGCAAGCTCCCGCGCAGCAAAACGCAAAGCCCTGCGGACGGTGTTGGTGGTCCTTGGCGTTTTCCTGGTCTGCTTTGCACCTTATCACATTGTGCAGCTGGTTCACACACTGGGCCGGGTGGGTGTCCTGGGTGGCTGCACCCTCGTCCGCACCACCTACGTTGCTCGCCGCATCACTATGGCACTGACCAGCCTCAATGCCTGCCTGGACCCACTGGTTTATTACTTTGCTGCCGAGCGATTTGCCCGGCAATCCGGCTGGTGGAAGTGTGGCTGTTGTCAGCCAGGGAGCCCCCAACGGCCTCTGGGGCTCCCCAGGTGGATTGCTAGCAAGGCCTCTTCTTCTGGAGAAGCCACCAGTGCCGTCACAGAGCAGTGAGCAGTGAGAAAATCCATCCCTCAACTTGACAGCCTGCTCTGTTCACACTGTGTGAACAGAGGAACAGAGGCACATCACAGTTACACGGATGTGAAGTTAGCACTTGTACGAGGAACGGACTGGAAACGAATAAGCAAAGGAGACTCAAGATGGTGCTCATCTGCCTTTCCCCTGCTTCCAGGATGGGCCCCTCCAAACATGAGCTGCTACCACCCAAGGACACGATGGGGAGGGGGTGCTCTTTCCCACCCACCCGGCCCCTCCTTCATTGTGAGGGTCTCCTTGTGGGGTTGCTCTTCTGAGTCTGATGGAAATGATCAGGGTGGGGAATAGCTGTGGTTCAAATTATTTTTCTTATTCAAAACCATTTTAAACAGAGGAGGGCAGGGCAGGTATATGAGGCTTTTAATTTTGGAGTCTACCTTTCCACACTATCTGAATCGGATTGTGATCTGTCCATTCGTTTGGTAAGATTTCAATCTCTTTTAATTCATTTACTAGACTCTTGTTTGATGGGAGGAAAAATAAGGTCCTTGGGTAGCAGAATGACTGAAACCCCCACCCCCCGTTACTCTTTTTGGCTGCCTTCTAAGATAAATATTTCACACAGGTACTTTTGTGAGAAAATGTTTGTAAGGGCAAAGAAATCCGAAGTAATATCATGAGCTGCAATTTGCTAATTAACAGGAAAAAGCTACAATGTAATGTAGCTAGAATTTATGTGGTGACAATCAAATTTTTCAAACCAATAATGTAGCCTGCTGAGATACAGGCAAAAGCACTGAAAAAAGGGGTTGAGGGTTAAGGGTTGGGTTGGGTTTAAGGGTTAGAATTAGGGTCAGAATTAGGATTAGGGTGGGGATTATCGTTCAGGGCTAGGGGTTAGGGTTAGGGCCCCAGCTGCCGCCATCTTCTCTCCCCTGTTTCTTCGTAGTCTCCTTGTGAGAAAGGGGATCCCAAAGGAGCCTGAGCGAGAACAGCCAGAGAGAAGCCTGAGGGTCCCAGCATCAACTCTGTACTTTCCACAGGCCACCATGCTCCTGGCTGGGCCTTCCTGAGCTGGGAAGAGGCACCAGCCAGATCGAGGAGGCCCTCAACTGGCATGGTCGCCTTGTGAAAGACTGGCTCTGGCAAGGAGACCGATTCACCTCACGGAGACGGAGGCCGTGCCATTTGGTTCTCCTGCCTGCTTTTAGATAGACAACTCAAGGCGGGGAACAGACTACCTGCTCCTGCCTTCTCCTATTTTCCTCACAACAACAACCCTGTGAGGTAGGCTGGGCTGAGAAAGGCTTTCTGGATTTTAGACCAGCACCTTTAACCATTACCCCAAATAGCCTGGAGCACTTGGAATGGCCTGTCGTGCCTCAGTCTTAGGGCTGGAGTTTTGTCCTTTTGGACTGACCGCAGGAGAAGATCAGGAAATACACCTTCAAATAAACCCACCTGGACTTATAACCATTCATTTGACATCTTAACATTAGAAATGGTGGAAAATATGTGTAGCTCAAAAGTGGGGTTGTTTCTTTGCTGGTGCCCAAATACCCGCTGCCTTTTCTGCCGATGGAAGGGTCTTGGGAGGAAGGCTTCTCCTGGCCCAGAGCGGATTTGCTCCATTTCACAGGGGTGGGGTGGGGAACAGAGCCTGGCCTTGCCCCTAAGAGGCAACGCCATCATTTCCCAAGTGTTCTTCCTCTTCCTCCCCAAGGACTGGCAGGGGCTTTCCCTGCCTGTTCTTCGTTTCTTGTCAGACTTGATCGTTTGGCCTTCCTGTGCCTGCTACCTCGACACGCTGCTGCTGCTTTTGCTCGCTGCCAACATTCCTGCTGGCTCCTCCACGGGCATTGCCTCCCCATCGTGCCTTTCCAGTGCTGCTCACCCTCACCCTCACTTCTGGCGCTGTCCCTCCAGGGGGCTGAACGTCTGGTCTCCGCACTCTTTGTCCCTTAAGTAGACCTCCTGTCTTATGTTTTTCTTCCCTCTCTTGTCTTTGGTGCTGCCATTGTTTTTCCATGCTGCCAGCTTACCCACTGGATCTTGTCGGGGTCTGATCACAGTTGACCAGTTTGGGGTTTAAGGGTGTAAGAAATAAGTAAATTCAAAAATAAAATGGTATAGAAGATGCTTAAAGGTTTCACAAATGGGGTTGGACTAGATGACCTTGCAGGGTCCCTTCCGATTCTGTTAATCTGTTATCAAATGAAATATATCTCCCTGTATATACATGCTTTGTTTTACACTGTTGACATGCTCCATTAAGCCTTTTTATATTATTATGTTTGGGGGGGGCATTGTTATAATCTCTTTGGAAAAATGGTAGGATATGATGAGCTTTTAAGAACTGTATCTTCAGAAGTTAGAAAGAGGCCCTGATGAGGGGATGCTACATTCCTTAACGCTGGGGAAAAAATGCCACGTGGGCAGCCAAACTAAGAGGTACAGAGGGTGAGAACATAGCGGAAGGAGACAATTCACCCTGGAGACATCCTAGGATCAGCTGCAACACCTGAGGGCAAATCCAATGAGTTTGAAGTTGGGAGGGAATGAGTCTCAAGAAGGAGGGAACTTGGGTGACGAAACGAAACTGTATATAAAGAATGGTTTGAGGTTCTAAAGGTGTGGCTTTTGATTTTGAACCTGCTTGGTGAGGTTCTAAAGACCACCGGCACTTTGCAAACCATCTTGTTATTTCTTTTTAATAAATCCTCTTTGCTTTCAACGATCCAAGGTTTTTTTTTGTTGGCTTATTTTCAACAAGGGGTGAGGTTAGGGTTATCATTTGTTGAAATAGGCCTAGTAATAAAGGCAGCAATGGGCGTGTAAATTCTGACTCAAGTTCAATAAAACCCAGGTCTATCCCTGCTTGTAAAAGGCGGGTGGTATCAGGTTTCTTGTCTTTAAGTTGGGTTGGGACAAGGCCAGAGCAACAGGGCTGCAAATTTAGTCAATATGGAATTCTAGTTAAGCCTGATACGAGACTTCTTTGGGGAACTGAGGGGATTCCAACAGGCACACAACACTTCTGCATGATTTTTGCCATCAGGACCAAAAACTTCAACAACCACAATGCGGTGGAAGAGTTTTATTGCTTTGGAGTATTCCAGAGCAGTTTTCCTATTCCAGGTGATTTTACAAACTTAATACACAGTTGTTATTGATTCATGAAGGAATCCTTGGTGTTCCATGCAATGTTTCTATCCCAACTCTTCTCCAAGCAATGTAACATTTTCTCCTTTGCTAGTGATATAGGAAGGGAGGTCACTTTTTTTGGTAAGCAGTCCTAGAGCAAGAGTCTGAATCCTGTGGTCAAAGAAGGAATCACAGCCACTAAAGGGAATAAACCCTTTTAATGGGATCTTAAGTTTATTATTATTATGTATCTTTATTATTAAACACCTTATTATTAACATTAATAGGACAACAGGAAGCCCAGGGGCCACAACACAGGCATAGAAGAAGGAATCCTGCTTCAAAGAGTGGTGTAGGGTTTCCTGCCTAAGCAGGGATTGGACTAGAAGACCTCCAAGGGCCCTTCCAACTCTATTATTCTATTCTAAAAGCCTTAAACTGAGTTAAAAAGCTCTATGATGGCCTCAGCACTATTGGTAAGGGGCAGAAAACAGTCCTATCCTGTGTAGTCAAAGCAGGTGAGGAAGCCACCAAAAGAAAGCTCATGGCATTTGAAGGTTATTATTCTTATTAAAACCTTATTAATATTAATAAGCCTTCCTAGGCCTTCTTAAGTCTTTTGAAGGAGGATTTCTTTTTCTGTTCCTGTGTTGCAGCAAATGGGCCTCCTATTGCCCTATCAATAGGTGTTAATAATAAGGATACAGGATAATAACCTTCAAATCCCATTAAAAGGTTTTCTTTTTGTGGCTGCAATACCTGCTTTGACCACAGGTCAGCACAATTTTCTGTCCCATAGCATTAACAGGGAGGCAGTCCTTGGCCTTTTTGATGTCCTCAATGCTATTGCTAAGGGACAGAAAACGGTGCCACCCTGTGGTAAAAGAATAGCAGACACAAAAAGGAATCTTTTTGATGGCATTTTAAGATTATTCTGTATCTATTGAAGCTATCATCGGCCTTTTTAATTCTTTCTAAGGCTTTTGAAACAGGATTCTTCTGTGCTTGTTCTGCAGCCACTGGGGAATGGAAAGCAGTGCCATCCCGTGGCCCAAGCAGGTATAGGAGACACAAAAAGAAATAGATCTTTTTAAAGGCATATCAAGTTGATTATTCTGTATTTTTATTATCAAAACCTTATTATTAACATTCATAGGGCAATAGGAGGCCCAGGGGCTGCAACACAGGCACAGAAGAAGGAATCCTGCTTCAAAAGACTTTAAACCTAGTTAAAAAGACAGCAATGGCTTCAGTGCTATTGCTAAGGGACAGAAACTCTGCCATTGTGTGGTCCAAGCAGGTATAGCAGCCACAAAAAGAAAAACAGGTAGTCCTCAACTTACAACAGTTCTCTTAGTGACCATTTGAAGTTACAACCTCACTGAAATAAATGACTTATGATTGATTCTCACACTTACAGCCATTGCAAAATCCTCACGATCACACAATTAAAATTTGAATGCCGGGAAACTGGTTCATATTTATAACAGTTGCAGTGTCGCGACATCATGTGATCCAGTGGTGGGATTAAAATAATTGAACAACCGCTTCTCTGCCCTGATGATTTCTTGCAACAACCAGTTCACCAAACTGCTCAGAAAGTTGACAACCGGTTCTCCCAAAGTGGTGGAAACTGGCTGAATCCCACCACGGATGAGATCACCTTTTGTGGTCTTTTGACAGGCAGAGTCCATTGGAAAGTCAGGTTCCCTTAACAACCCTATTTCTAGTTTAATAACTGCAGTGACACACTTAACAGCTATCATAAAATGGGGCAAATTCACTTAACTGTCTCACTTAGCAACATAACTTTTGTGCTAAATTGTGGCCGTAAGTTGAGGACTAACCATTTCCATACAGTGTATCTACGCAATCTTGAGCTGAGACAAACGCATTGTGGCTCTAACCTATTCACTCGCCCACTCTTGACCCAGGGCTGCCTGCCACCCTCTGTGTTCCCCCGCTTGGCTGCTGCTCCTTCCGGAGAGCTTGAGTAGCTGCAGCAAAGAGGGCAGCAGGAACCCAGAACTCGATTAGGTCCCTGTCCTGAAATGAGGCTCTAAAATTGGCCCTGAAGTCCGGGGAGACAAAACAATCGAGTCTCTTTAGAACCAGAGGAGGCACCCAGAGAACCAGTGTTCCAGGGCAGGTCTAGAATATATCCAAAGAGAAGCAGTCACATGCCATGAGCAGCCTCTACCGGTTCCCAACCGCTTGCTGTAACAACAGTCTTCAGAAGTTGAGATGATGGGAACAAAGGAGGCAGC